ATACAATTCTTTGCCTGCCAGAGAGTTTTTAGTGTTTGCCAGACACCTGGCAACACTTCAGTTCTGTCAGTTTGTTGATGTTTGGCCTCCATGACTGAGCAGTTGAAACCTTCAGGATTGCAGCAAGGTGCATCAGATAGTTGCGTTCGGTATTTTGACTTGTTTATATTCATTGTGGAAAAAAGCGACACTGCCTCCATGGCTGACTCTGCCAGGCGACTAGTGATGGTATCTCTGTCCCTCTCCCCCAGCCAATTGGAGCTGCGGGCTGCAGGGGGGAGGTTCTTGGGCCGCAGATGGCCCATGGCCGGGACTTTGAGATCCCGATCTAAATGAATCCCATCTTGTGCCTTGTGAGACAAATAATCATGTCATGACGTTACATCATTGTACGACAACATTGCATCCTCTTACCACAATTCAACAAGATCACATGAGGAGGCATCAGCATCACAGCATTGCAAGGCCATAAATACATCTGGGACAATAACTGTCCTGTGAGCTGGGCTTGCAGAATAGATGGGTGAGAAGTTGGGATTGTCTCATAACTTGATTCTGGAATGGGTGGCTAACCCTGGTCTTGCCTTGTGCATCATTGGCTGGTTGGTGATATTTATTTTGTCCGTGAATCTGTTTCAGGGAGCCTTCCAGAATGGTCAGCACAGAAGAGTTTCATCAGAAGGAGGAAGAATGTGACAAGCTGATGGAACAGAAAAGTCTTGGAGCAAAAGTAGGGGATTTGTAAATATTTCCTCCAGAGCTTATCTTTCTACAAAGAGTCTGATCCTTCTCCCAACGCTATAACCCCTCTTTGCTACCTTGGCAGCTGAAGTATCCCTTCCCCAGATTCTCAGCCTCCATGAGGCATCTGTCAGGGGTGGTGAGTTATATGGGCCCATGGTGCCCGTGCTCCAGCAATATTCAGGGCCCAGGGGCCCGGGTCCACCAATGTTTGGGGCCAGGTCTCTCCCCTGGCCCCGCCTGCTGCCCCCGTGTGCCTCCCCCAGCCTCGAGCATCCCTGCCACAAGCCGGTGGCTGCCCCCTGCAGCTCCTTGCTGTGCTCCATTCTGCCAGCTCCCGGCATCACTAGGGCCGCTGCAGGGCCCTAGTGCCCCCCATAGTATAAGGGCCCTACCGTCAATCAAACCCTAACCCCACCCCTTGACCTCCTAAGCCCTGTCCCTTGACCCCTTAAGTCCTCCCACCTGTCACCGGAAGTCCCGCCCCATGGGGTATTACTTCTGGGGTCAAGGCGGCCACATGACCAGAAGCAAGGTGTGTCATGTGACCCCTCTAATAACTCCTCCCACTGCCCTCTACCAATCAGGATGGGTTTCGTTCCAAAAGGACCACCCCGAGAGGAGATTTGACCAATCAGGGTGACTTCCAGGGTGGGGTGACCCGTCTGGAAGTGGGTCGTGTGACCCCTCTAAGAACTCCTCCCACCACTCTCTACCAATCAGGATGGGTTTTGTCCCAAAAGGACCGCCCTGCCTCCCAGACAACCTGCCAACCTTAAGCAACCAGCAACCACACACTGCACCATAGTAACTCTAACTCAGGAACCAATCCATGCAACAAACCTCGATGCCAACTCTGCCCATATATTTACATCAGCAACACCATCACAGGAACTAACCAGGATCACAGGATCAGCCACAACATCACCGGTTCATTCACCTGCATGTTCACCAATGTAATATACGCCATTATGTGCCAGCAATGCCCCTCTGCTATGTACATTGGCCAAACTGGTCAATCCCTACATAAAAGGATAAATGGACACAAGTCAGATATTAGGAATCGCAATATACAAAAACCTGTAGGAGAACACTTCAACCTCCCTGGCCACACAATAGCAGATTTTAAGGTAGCCATCCTGCAGCAAAAAACCTTCAGGACCAGACTCCAAAGAGAAACTGCTGAACTTCAGTTCATTTGCAAATTTGACACCATCAGCTCAGGATTAAACAAAGAGTGTGAATGGCTAGCCAACTACAAAACCAGTTTCTTCTCCCTTGGTTTTCACACCTCAACTGCTAGAAGAGGGCCTCATCCTCCCTGATTGAACTAACCTCGTTATCTCCAGACTGATTCTTGCCCGCATATTTATACCTGCCTCTGGAAATTTCCACCACATGCGTCTGACGAAGTGGGTATTCACCCACGAAAGCTTATGCTCCAATACATCTGTTAGCCTATAAGGTGCCACAGGACTCTTTGTCGCTTTTTACAGATCCAGACTAACACAGCTACCCCTCTGATACTTAAACAAGGTAGCAAACCCAGAAAATGTCAACGCAGGGGCTTTGGCACCTTCCATATGTCTGTGCACATTTCACTATTGCACTCTTCATCCTGCTTCCATTGGGGGAACCTCTGGGAATTGTTGGGCCCCTGAGATCACATGGTCCATAGGTAGTTTGGGAGGCCAATCCTGCACAAAGGCATAGCAACTGTGAGTGCCAATCTCAGGCCAGAGTGTCAGAACAGGGTAGACACCCCAAACTGGTGGTATATTCTGTAATCAGATTTCACCAATCCAATAACAAACGTGAACTCCTGGATCACTATATTAGTCTTACCATGGAGTCACAGCCAGTCCCCTTAGACTCTCTAGCCTATCTTGCCACCCAGATAAACTAGACTTTGTGATAATGGTCACTATGCTAAATATCACATCACATTAGGTTACTCCCAATCCCAAAGATCAGTTGCTTACCCTAGACCAATTGCTACTCTAGATGTTACCAAAAACAATGCTGGCAGCCAATTCTCTAGTAATCTAGCTAAAGATTTATCAGCTAAGAAAAAGAAATGAGAAGTTAAAGCAGGTAAAAAACATTAATAAATGAGTTAAATTTTGTAAGTCCAAAGTGACAGCAGAGCTGTAGCAATCTGCTAGTTTTCCAAAAGTCCCTCATGGACAGTACTGGATTTACAATGGATCCAGTGGCACTGTGGCACCAGGTCCACACTTGGAAGGGGCCCACAAAGGGTTAATCCAGTCCTGGCCACACCCCAGCAATGTGAAGACTCAGCAATTTACCAGTGATGGCTAAAACACTCAGCAGCCCTGTCACGGAGTTCCCAGGCGATGCTCTGGAACTGCTCCCTACGCAGCCAGTCAGGACTTTGGTGAAGTCTCCTCTCTGTGAGCAGACTGTCTTCAGGGCAAGAAGCTCACACGGCTTCCACCTTCCGGAGTCTGCCCTTGGAGCATTCAGCATCCTCTGCCTCTCCGTGTGCTTCCCACATCGAGTTCGCCCAGGCGGGGTCCTGGGGAAGCCAGAGGGTCCTGCACCCCAACTTCACAGTCAGACGTGACTCTTAGCCAGCCGGTAAAACAGAGGTTTATTAGATGACAGGAACACGGTCTAAAACAGAGCTTGTAGGTACAGAGAACAGGACCTCTCAGCCAGGTCCATTTTGGGGGGCAGTGAGCCAGACACCCACGTCTGCACTCACTCCACGTCCCCAGCCAGCTCCAAACGGAAACTCTCCAGCCCCTCCTCTCTGGCCTTTGTTTCTTTCCCGGGCCAGGAGGTCACCTGATCTCTTTGTTCTCCAACACCTTTAGTTGGCATCTTTGCAGAGGAGGGGCCCAGGCCATTAGTTGCCAGGAGACAGAGTGCCAGCCATTCTCTGTGCAGACAGTATCAGAGGGGCCTTCTTGGACTTTGCAACAATTATACACCCTGATCCCCCCACCTAGATACCAAAGAAATGCATAGGGGAAACTGAGGCACCCCTACAGTTTCAGAGGAAACATTAAGAACAGTCCCACTTCGTCACAAGCCCGGCTCAGGGTTACCCAGAAAATCAAAAAAACAAACAGTATTAAACACTAATGTTTTTACTTCATTAGACTCTATAAGTGTCACGGCTGGCCAAGCCTGTAAGGTCCCAATTCAGCTCACATTGATGGCAGTGTAAAGATTTGCACCGACTTAAATGGGAGTTGGATCAGGTCCTAAATCAATTATCCCCAAAATGGGCCCATGACTTGATGGCTGAGATTAGGACAGATTCTGAGCCCAGATAAGGATTTATTTTGGATTTAATGTTTCTCCAACCTCCTGCTGCCAGATCACCAGAAACTCTTGGCTGCCCACTTCTCTAGCATTACAACTAGACTCTGTGTAGTCCACTACTTATCTAGCCCCTGTTGCCATAGTATCTGAGTGTCTCCTGAGTATTTTAAACTAGAAATAGCAATAAAAAAACCTTTCTCTTCCTTTCCTGGATGTAGGAGAAAAAGCTCGATCAGCCTCTAGGCTTTGTGTTTGTTGGCTTGCTTCTACTGGTGAGTGAGACTGAGGAGGGGCGTTATACGTAGAGTTGAGCGAATTTTCACAGGCAACTTTTTGGGGGCAATAAACACAAAAAAATTTGGCAACAGCCAAACATTTGCAAATACATGTCAAATTTGCCACGTTTTTCATTTTGAATTTTTTAAGTCAAGCTGAAAAATGCCAAATGGACTGTTTCAATATTTTTCTGACCAAAGATTTTTGATAGTTTAGTTGGAAACAACTTTGTTTCAAATTTTCATTAAATTTAATTTTTAAATGTAACAGCTCAAATCAAAATAAAACATTTCTTTTTTAATGGAAACAAAACATTTCAATCAAGCCAAAATGAGACTTACTTTTTGCTGATTTATTTTTGAATTTTCAATTTGCTGAAAATGTTCAAGATTTACATTTTCATTTTGAACTGGAACTTTTTTTTTTAATTGTGAAATTGCCCACAAGCCAAAAAACCCATTTTTCACTCAGTTCTACTGTGAAGACACCTATTTACTTCTATAGAAATTGAATCGTGTCCAAAAGCAAGCTCCCACTGCCAGGGCAGCAAATCTCTTGGCCTTCTACTCTGGTTTTGCAAAGAGAGTGTCTGTCCACTTCTCTGGATACCATCAACACATTTAAACACCTCCCACATATTTAAAACTATAAATAGCAACAATAGTCTCTTTTTCAGCCTGCAGGAGAGCTGCATTAAATTGCTTATAGGTCAGGGGAGTGTGAGTGGGCGAAGGGGGGCACTGTACAAATAGACTATCATAAGAAAGCGAAGTCAAAGAAATTAGCATTCAGAGTGGAAAGTTTGGAAGAGACATTTGCTATTTTAATAGAAGCATGGAGCAAAGCGCTTTATCTAACCCAGGCCCAGCTCAGCCAGAGGTTTCACAATGCAAGGAGTTGGATCACAGAACAGGGGCTTCAGAAGAGACCAACAGGTATGCTGGGCAATCGGAACTCAGTGGGGAATCACAGCATGTTTAATAAGATTTCTAAGTTTCTGTTTAAAAATGGTTGTGAAACTCTCATGCAGCGTTCTTCCTGTTGTCAGTGTTTGCAGTCAGAGACTGCATCATTATTATTTTTAATCCTAGCATTTGCAAATTTCAATCCAGGATGAAGACCTTAGATATTTGCAACCAAAAATGACAAACTTCTGCACGTCCCCTCCCCTCCCCCTGAATGAAATCTTAAAGTGTTTTGATTTTGTACCAGTTAGAAAATTGCCATTTTTGTTTAAAGTAGTTTCACAGCAAAATGATTGTTCCTGCACATACTGCAAATGGAGAACAGGGTTTGCTTTTTCACTGACCACTGCTGAACTTGACCTTTTCTGCTCATTTGAGTTCACCCGCAGGCACACACACATGCATCCTGAATCATGCCATGCTCAGCTGCAAAAGCTTGGCCAGTATGTGTTTGTGCAGTAAATCTTAACTATCGATGGAGCAGAGCTGCAGAGTTCAGCTCCAAAGCTGGACTTTCCTTACATTGAGGGGTACTTGGATCTGGAGTTTTGGGTCCGATCATTGTACAGATGGAGCAAGTACAAACTGCACAGTTTGGATCCTGTTTCAGTTTTAAAAGAGAGGTTTTCAACAGCAATGACACCCAGTGAAGAACCAGAGAACGGCTCCTTCTGTTAATATTAGACAGTAGTTCATGAGCCAGCCCTAGAAGAGAATTACAGACTTGCAGTTACCAATGGCCCCGGGCTCCCTCATCCTTTATCTGACACTGGGGTTCTGTGGCAGGGGATCAGATCCTTACTCGGTCATTAACTGAATTGCACGAATATCCTGAACCTGCAAAACTGAGCTGGAAATCTCTCCAGAACAATATTTGGCATTTCTGGTCCTAGGAAGAACTGGGAAACACAGAAGCATCCATGAAACTGAAAATTATCTTTAGAATGCTGCAACCTATTTCCATCTTTCTCTTTTCTTGACACTCTCTAAAATAGAAGTATCTTAAAAAACTGAAGACTGGTTTAAGCAAAATAGCTGGCTAGATTTTCCCCCCCAACCTCTGAAATGGTTTTAGATTCAGTTTAAGTTTTGCGTGGTGAGTTCTTATTTTATCTTGCCCAGGTCATCCTGCCCTAGAGATAATTGCCATCTGTCTGTTTTAGGGTTTTATACTGTCTCCCATCATGGTAGTACTAAGCGCCTTCTACATAAAATCAGTAGCAATAGTGAAGTCTTGAGTGGATTTCACGGAGACACTGGCACTTCACGCTTTTTGGGGTAAAACATCTGCTCGGGGTAGGGTTTTTTGTTTTGATATTTTTAGATTTTATTAATTTCCTCTTTTTTCTGTGAGGGTTCGGGTTTACTGGGTAGAAGGTGGTGTCACTGTTATGTTGGAAAGACTTCTAATGAGTTATCGGTCATCCTCAATAGCTCTGTGCCATCCAGAGGTGAAAGTGAGGCTCCACAGGATGAACTCACAGATTTGGATGGAACCGAGATGGAACAGCGGGTGAAATATGTGGAAGACAAACTCAGGTAAGTTTGGTGATCTGAAATTATATTCCATTTTAGACCCCTACCCTTGGGGCCAAACAAGTGTTCATGTTCCTAATGGATCTCTGAGGTTCACACCGTTCTTGTCATTTGCCCTCCTTGCCTTTTATTGAGATGCCGGCCCCTTCTTTGGCTAGACGGACAATGTGCGGCCCTCCTTGTCTCCAGAGCCTCAATGCTCTGCCTGGGCACCATTGCTTGGCACTGACTCCTAGAGAGAGGGTGGTTAAGATCGTCACAGGTCTCCCACATGGCGGGGCAGGGCCATGGCCACCCAGCTGAGCAGATATGTTTTTAGCCATATGAGTCTTGACTGTTTCGGTTTTTTGCTGAAGGGCTGACTAAGCATTTTGGGAGGGGCTTCAGCTTTTGCAGATGTTATTACTTTTATGGATATTTTATTAACTCTAATCCCCTTGCATCATTCTTTGCCTGACGGAAGGGAAATGAATGCTCGATTTGAAGGCGCAGAGAAACGACTAGAGGTTTTGCAAGAACGGCTCAGGTAAGTGGGGAGGGTCAGGCCTCGATGACAGTGAAAAATATTGTGATTCTTTCTCAAGTATCTACCATATCAAAGAAGTCTTGTACATTTCCAAGTGGGCTTTCTTCTCGCTTGTGGGTGTTGATACTAAAATATCAATATGCCTAGTGATTGGACTAGCTCCATTTCTCCGGCTTGGCATCGCTCTCCATGGTCAGGTCCCGAGGCTGCCACCAACTTCAGTTTGTCTTGCAATGCAAATCTGACAGTGTGATGTAACACCACAGCTTTATTATGCTGTGTGATTTTCATCTTGAAATCATGTCATGTTGTGAAACAATATGATGAATTTTAGCTCCATCCCAAATAGTTTTCTGAATAGGTAATACCCCCTTGTGCATCAGCAGGACACAGGATAAACCCACCCTTCCTGATATAGAAAGGGCGGGTGGTAAACTTATACTTGGCAGGACTGTGAGTGCAGCTGCCATGATAGCATACTCTGATCCTAGAGGAAAGGGAGAGTCTTGCATTACTTAGCAGTGACCTCTTAACAGCTATTTAAGGGGTGGCATTGACAAGCTCCTAAAGGAAGGGTGGCAGCTGGGATTCTGGTGAGAGTGGAAAGGGGTGAACTGTGGGGGAGAGAAGAGAGGCAGTACCCTAGAGATGCAATTCACAAGCATAAAATGCCAAAATGAATCCTCCGAAAAGACCAAGAATAGTGATGAGCAAATCCAGCAAAGGTTGGTTCCAATAAACACACACAAGTAAGGATCTTCTTTAGCCTTATCTGAATCCCATATAACTGGGCTGGAAATTGGATAAGAACAGGCTTTAATGTGAGATTTCCTGCAACTTCTGTGCTTGGTCAGGATGGCATTACAATGACAGCAGCCTCTCTCCATGGTATTTTGGAGCTTCCAATCCCAGCTACAAAAAGGAAATACAGAGGCAGCCAGGATAAGGAAAATAGCTAATCAATCTTTTTCAAACCTGAAAGGTTTTTCTTAGAATTTTGTCAACTCAAGACTTGGTTGATGTAGGACAAAGGTTCAGGTTGTTAACAGAAAGTGATCCATGATACAGAGATTGGAACTAGATCCAAATTTCCCCCCAAATTCAGACCAAGTTGGATTCAGAGATTTTGTTCAACCAAGTACAGTAGGCTAGCTGCAAAGGCCGGATCTGGATCTGAACTTCTCCAAAGTTCAGTTTTCTGGGTTTTGGTTTATTTCCATCTGCATTTTTTATTCAGTGTTGTTTGTCCCATCTCTAGTCAGGAAGCAGCAAGTGAGACTGATTGCTGTGGTTCCAGATCGCAGGAGGCCACCAACAATAGTCAGTGCTTCACTCAGAAGTGAGTAGTGTGTATTTTTGTTGCTATTCTGTGAATTGCCTCTTCATCTAGAACCACTCACCCTCTTCCCATCCGACTAGTACATTTGTCACCTGTGAACTTGTTGGGACTCTACAAACACAACCTTGTGAACAAACTTCATGAAGGTGCATGAAGACAGCAGCACACATGTCCGTGCTCAGGGAAAAGGTGATTTTTGCGAGTTAGGATCAAGCAATGTTGCTTGTCCATTGAAAGATGTTTATTACCCAAGGTTTTGACACATTGGACTGAACCAGCTCTTATCAAAGTCAATGGGAATTTTGATATTGACTTCAGTGGCTGCTGGATCAGACCATAGTTTGTAACACACATTACCTTCCTCCTAAGTATAAATATCTGGGCTAGCGAATCCCTGCAGTATCTAAATGAATCCCATCAAGTGCCTTGTGTATTCAACCTGTGAAACAAGAAATCCACAATGTAATAACACTGCATTTGGCGGCAGCAACATCACATCATTGCAAGGCCATAAATACATCTGGGACAATAACTGTACTGTGAGCTGGGCTTGCAGAATAGATGGGTGAGAAGCTGGGACTGTCTTATAACTTCTGGAATGGGAGTGTCTTGTGCATCATTGGCTGGTTGGTAATATTTATTTTGTCCATGAATCTGTTTCATGGAGCTTTCCAGAATGATCAGCGCAGAAAAGTTTCATCAGAAGGAGGAAGAATGTGAAAAGCTGAAGAAAGGAAAAAGAGTCTTAGAGCAAAAGTAGGGGATTTGTAAATATTTCCTCCAGAGCTTATCTTTCTAAAAAGAGCCTGATCCTTTTCCCAACGCTGTAACCCCTCTATGCCACCTTGGCAGCCGAAGTGTCCCCTCCCCAGATTCTCAGCCTCCATGAGGTATGTGTACTACTGGCTACAGTGAGATGGGCGACTATGGCAGCTCCATGTCTGTCCCAGTACCCAAGTGCTGATGAAAGAGGCAAGCTCTCAAGACAAAATCCAAGTGCTGTTTAGATCATGCTAGCTGCCACTTGTGGAATATCGCTGTGAGAGTGATACTTTTCCAGACAGAATCTGGCACACCCGGATGCTCCCTGGTCAGGCAGATATCAGTTTAGGGTTGGGAAGTACAGAGTGGAGGCTGTGTCTTGTAAATTATATGGCAATTCATAAAGTATTTCCAGATTATTATTATTAACCTTTATGAATATCCCTTTATTCTTGATGTTTCTCCTTTGTATCTGGCTCTTCCATTTTAAAATGAACTTTTTAACCCCTCTTTTAGCCCTGGATTGGAGCCTGTCTTGGCCAATGCAATGAGAAGCATTGACCCTTGTCAAGAAGCAGATGTGCTGGATATGTACAACGGGCTCAGGACACATGAATGGGAGAAAGCCAAATGTGCTGCAAGTGGCTCTGCCTTCCCAATGACATATGAAAAAGGTAGCACCATAATTAAGGTTTGTTCCTATTCATATCCTAGAACTCAAATGTATAAAGTCTTGAAAAAATAATAGCACTGTACAAGCCAGTCTAATGACCTGGCGTTTAGTACTTGCATGATCAAGCAGGAAACTAGATGTGTCCTAAGCACCTCTTGATGCCAACTGACAGAGGGCATAGGGGTATGGGGATCCCCTAGGTTCATCAAAAGAATGCCATGTATGGTCTCTAATGAAAGCCTGTGTCACACATGACATCATAATCATTGTAAAAGGAATGTATAGAGTTAAGTGTATCTGTTGAAAATTAGGCTCTGTAGGACTGGTGGTTGAAGGCACGTCACTGAAATGTAGCACACAATGAGACAAACTGTCCAGACAGGAGGAGAGAGATACTTATCTCTCTGGTGGGCCATTGTGTGCCTTACAATAAAATTCTATTCCCATACTGAGTCAAATGTTCATTAAGAGTTTCCAGAAACTTCAGAAGGAAATTAACTGAAAGAGATAAACAGCCGAGGGAGCCCTGTTTTCAGGTGAAGATCAAAGGTCTGGCCTGGTATATCTGGGGGGTGCAGAGAGATGCTCTGGCATCCTTCAGTCTGTGAAGACAAGTTTCCAGCTGGATTGATCTTATGAAAGGGGGATCTCAGCCATCCTGGTTGAAAATGCTGGGGAAAAGACTGGGAGTAAGCTCTCCTGTAAGAGACAGGGGAATACTTTGTGAGTTTAGTTTAGCTGTAACAAGCATGTTATGGTTTATATGTAACTATTTGTTTCCCGTATTGTTACTTATTATCATTTGAATCTCTGTGTTTTGATTTAAAAAAAAAAGTATTCTTGTTTCACTATCCATGTATCTAAGTGCTGTGTGTTAAGTGGAGTGATGATTCTGAGTTGACTCTAGTAAGCTGGTGTGTCCTGGGAGCAGAGAATCTGAGCGTTCTAAGAGTGTTCAATGAATTAGAGGCTGGATGCTCCAGGGGGATGCGCGGAGGACTCAGGAGTTGGTGGGTGCCTCTTGCTAAGCTGTACAGAGAAGCGAGGCCTGCGGAGGCCTGGAAAGCAGGGCTTGTGTTGCCAGAGTCTGGGGGAGTCGGGGAGCTGGCACACAGCAGGTAGAGAAAAGACTTCCTCACGCTAAGGACAGGTGGTAGCAAGGTGCCTCACCACCCTGGGTAACCCTGGGAAGTGTCACAAAAGGGTCAGCTACTACGTTGTTAACTCTTATTTTCCAGCCCAGCATGGCCTATGGAATGCCATGGAGACCAACCTAATGGTGCTGCACAGTCCTGGCATTCAGAGGAGCAGGTTCAATTCCTTGTTGCCATTTCTCACTCCAACTAGGCATCAGCTGAGAGTGTTGCAGCATCTTGTCTGGTTTCCGTCTGATTCCTTGTGCTGTGCCACATAGGAGATCTAGTTCTGATTTCTAATTATTGCTTCAAGACTGGGTGTATTGGGGAAAAAAATCATCACTGTACATTAAGAAGACAGCACAGGTGCACAGAAATGGAGTGACTGCTGTCAGAAATGTCTGCACCAATTGTGCAGTGGGAGGTACCCACACTGGCACTCACTTAATTGATTAACCTCTAGCTATTACTGAGATAACTTCAATCCCTGACAGCTACGTGAAGCATTTTTGCACATGGATTCAAGGTGCATTTCTACTGATTGTGGGATGTTACGGTCGAATGACCTTTCTACTGAAGATGAGATTTAAGTCTTGTACGTACTGCACCATGACTCTTGATCCTCATCAATATTTACAGTGCTCTATTGTTATCTTTGCACCCCAGGCTGTGTTTTCCATATGTGAAGAAGAGCTGTCACAAAGACTGGAGCGAATTTTTGAACTCCTTGAGATTCCAGTTTCGAAGAAAACCACAAGCCTCTTTGACAGCAAACAGGTATTTAACATCATAGCGGAGTAGGACTTGGGTAGCAGCGGGAAGCTGGGTAACCTGCTTAGATCTGCCACCTCTCTACAGGCTTATTCACACAAGGGAAATATCTCAAATGTCCCACAGTTGCTAAACCTGGTTCAGCACCAACTGTGTGAGTGATGCTGGAAGCATCGCCGCCGCACCAGTGCCCTCCCCCACTTGCACCCCCTGCCGCCCCAGGCCCCGCACGGCAGTGTCCTGCCCTCTATTGCCCCGCTGCTGCTTCTGGCTGCCCTGCTGCAGTCCCTGGGCAGCTCGGGCCACTTTGCTCAGCCCTGGCTGCGGCGCTGGGGGGCAGCCACCCTGCGGCACCTGCAGGTGGTGCCGTGCACCCGCGGGTGGCCCCCAGCCCGAGTGTCCCCCATTCGGAGCCTGCCTGGCCCAGCCACAAGGAACAGCCGCTGCTTCCCAACACGAACCACAGCGGCCCCAGTGCACGGCGCGCTGCTGCTGCCAGGGCCGGCTCCAGGCTTTTGCCGCTGGAAGCAACAACAACAACAAACAACAACAACAACAAAAGATGGCCAGAATGCCGCCCTTGAAAATGTGCCGCCCCAAGCACATGCTTGGTTTGCTGGTGCCTAGAGCCGGCCCTGGCTGGAAGTCCTAACATAGACAGGCGCTACAATGGAAATAACCTGAGCTAAATTGTGAGCTGTGCAGGACAGGCAGAGTAGAGGGGAGAACTGTGATTCCTTTATATTTGTAATTGGTGTGACAGGAGAGTGGCTGAGTCATATGTAGTGTGGTAGATCACATGACTGAGATACACTAATCCTGTCATTGACTGTCCGGAATGCACTTACAAGAGTTAGAAACCTCCTTCCAACCCCATGTCCCAGTCTGGGCATTTGCCCAAACCCTGGGAGATGGAAGTTTCCAAATCACTGTTGGGCCAATAACCAGGAATTGGATTATTCCCATTTCATATCGGCTAAGTCAGGCTGTTTTGTTCTTTGTTTGGTTTGTAGCTGCCCCCTGGGCTGGCAAGAGAGATAAAGAATCACCTTAAAAATCTCTATTTTAACTATGGAGAAGACTTTTACCAAGCCAAGAGTAGGGTGAGTAAATACCAAGCCTGGGAAAGGGGTTCAATTTCCAAACATGTCTGTGAAACTCACGGTATTAAAAGATACACCACTGAGTTCTGTGCTGTATCGTCCACTTCTACCATGGGGGTGGGATTCGCCAAACCCCAAGAATTTTCCTGTCCAGCCCCTCCCTTTTACTCCTCTTTCCGCCCCCCTCAAAGGGCAGGTCTACACATAAAACACTGCAGCGGTGCAACTGTAGTGCTTCAGTGAAGATGCTACTACGCCGACAGAAGAAATCCACCTCTACGAGAGGCAGTAACTATGTTGATGGGAGAAGCCCTCCTGTTGACCTAGTGCTGACTAACCGGGGGGCTAGGTTGGTATAACTACGTTGCCCAGGGATGTGGATTTTTCACACCCCCTCAGGGATGTAGTTAAAATGCCAAAGTAAGTTTGTAGTCTAGCTGCACATCGTAGTAACGCCTCTGGCTGAGGCGCTCTAGATGCTCCTCCCTTCACACCCTGTTGATGCCACACCTTCCATCGGTCAGAAGGGGCTATAGAGAATGTGCATCTGGCTTCTATGCTGGGCCATGAGAGCTGGGCATACATTACGTTGTGCTATGTGAAACTGGGACAACAGTAAGTGGGTGGAACCCTGATTTCAATACCTATATTCCAGTTCTATAAAACCAGACTCTCTCCGGTTTCTTGTGGTAAATGTCTATCAGGGCTGCAATGGAGCTGTGTGGTCAGCCGGCAGTTTGGACATTTCAAAAATCTCTGGTTTCTCTGGTCTCCTGAAAGGCTTTGTTTGGATATGTGGGAGAAAAGGCAGCCCAGGAATTTTGTCAGGCCTCTGGCACACTGAGTCCCATAACCTAGAACTTCTCCTGATGGGGAGATCAGACTAAATAAAAGATCCCTGGATGTGTCTCCCTCACCACTATCAGTTCTGGCTTATGAATTCCATTACTGATGTTAGTTACTCCATATTTATAAGCTGCAAACTGAGTCAAAGGCTGGTGGTAGAATCTGCTTAACAATTAGCATAACAACATTGCAAACCCCCTACGATACTCACTGTCCTTACTTTATTTTCAGCCTTCACTTTCTCCTGATCTACAGAAGTTTCAGCCACTTGTACATTTCACAGCAGAGTGCTACAAAATTTACTGTTTGTTGCTTCTTCAGAACCCGCCCATTAAAGCTGTGTGGCCCACAGAGGAAAGAATCCCAATCTCTTGCATACAGCATGTGGACAATAAAAACGTGGAGGATGGGATGCCATTAAACTTTCTGTGGCCCGTGCTGGCATGTGGGAGACTAGTATATAAGAAAGCTGTAATCTATGATTAAATGGAATGGCTGTTTGGAATTCAATTATACCTCTGTGTTATAAAACAATAAAAAAAAAATAGTGAAATAGCAGCCTTGCAGTTTGTGTCTTTTTTTATTCAGGAAATGCCCAGGTTTTAGCTCTTGTAGCATATACTCTGGAAGGGGATGTGACACAGAGACCACTGGTGCCTGCTGGCAAAAGGTTCACTGCAGGATTTCATAGCAGCAAATCCTAACAGGCTTGACAAGCTTACTATACCTTGCACCCAGATTTCATAGTAGTTATCCATAAAGAATGCCATGAGAGGTCTCAAATTAAAACCAGGGTCGCACTGGTCATTAATAGGGTTGTGAAATGTATGTACAGATATTATGTGAGGAGTTATGTGCCTGCACTGGAAATATGTTTAGATTCGGTATCAAGGTATGAGTCACCAACCAAAGAGAGAAGCAACTTTTCTTCCAGACAGGAGATAATATGTGTCTCTCTCTGCCAAAATGTAAATTAAGATTGTAAGCTAACGCAATGGAATCCCCATCTACACAGGAAGCCAACAGAGCCATGTGAAGTCAATAGAGAAGAGCACACTGGGAAAAACAAGTGATGGGGGAGTGATACTGCCCCTGACTAGAGACAATGAACTTTGAGAGATATAGGGAGAAGACAAAAAGACACCCTTTTATCCTGCACCTAGGAAGTAAATGAAGAGTGGTTTACATTTGTGAAAACAGGATCTCATCCAACCTTGGCTGAAACACTGCAGAAAAGGCTTTGGGTAAAATAAACTTCTTTAGAAAGGGGTTTGGCTTGTGAAGTTAAGTTGAGACTCTAGAAAGCATGTATTAATTTTCTTGTATATGTAACCATTCTGTTTCCATTAGCCTTACTCACTAATCATTTCAATTCTTGAATCTCTGTTCTTTGTTAATATGCTTAGTCTTGTTTTTACTATAAATATATCTAAGTGCTGTGGTGTTAAGCAAAGCAGTAATCCTGAGATAAATCATTCAAGTTGGTATGTGCACTGTCCTTTTGAGGACAGCAGCCCTGGTATTTCTGTGAGTGTTCAGTGGATAAGGTGCTGCACACTGCAGGGGAATGCCTCAAAAGGGCTTGGGAACTGGGGTACACCGATTGCTAACCTTCAAGATTTGGGTGGCTAAAAGGCTATTGGTATTAAGGAGCTGACACCCAGCAAAGCACAAGCAAGTTTCCCTCTCACTGGAGGCGGGGATGGGGGAATAACATGGTGACTCACAGTCCTAGACTTTTGCAACAGATCAGCCCCTTCAGTTATACAAACGCTACGCACAGTAGGAGGCCTGGTTCTTTTATTTTGTAGCATCATCGGCATAGAAGACATTTGAATGCTTGTTCCTGGTTAAGACCACTGGGACTAAAATGTTGCATTCCTGCCCTTCCATCAATAAATACAAATGAATGGCCCTGATCCAGCAATCCTTTCTCAGGCAAAACTTGTATTGACCTCAGTAGTAGTTTTGGCCAACTATGTACAGCAGGACTGGGCCCCAGATCATTTAAGCACTCGACTTACAATGAATGGTAATGATAAAGGGCCTGAAAAAATCATCTATCTGCTCCAATCAGACAATTAAGTCAGAGAGTCTCTTCCTCTCCCCCCCTCTCCCCCAAATGCTCTCCCTCCTATGCAGGCTTCTCAGCATGTGCTAATAAGCTTGGAGATCTGGCTTGGGAAGACAGTTTATGAAATCCAGTGCAAGGGATTAGATTAAAGTGACCAGTCTCACTTGTTTGTCTTGTTACTGAAGGACTGGCAAACAATCGGATTCCCTCTTAATATTCCTCAGTGGGTGCTCAGCTTCTCTGCACGCTCTCTGGGGGAAATTCTTCAACATCCACTTCCAGGAACTGAAATACACCATCCAGCTCCTTGTCAAAATGCTTGCTAGTAGACATGCTGCTTACAGAAGATACAAACCAGATCTGACTGGGAAAAGAAACAGTGGGATGGGAAAGACCCAAGATTTAAATCTGGATGGGGATAGGCATGGACAAACTGACCTGCAAACCGCTATAACAAACACCATGTCTACTGCGGCACCTGGAAGGTGGTGAGAACAGATGGCTATTATGGTTTGGTTGCTCATTTCTATTCACCCTGTCACACCTTTCTACTCCTGGAATGCCAAACATGGACACAATATTATCCACTCAAACTGACCTATTCACTTCTGCATCTAACTTTGGACTCTCCAAGATACCCATCTTCAAACAAATTATCTAGCATCTCATCTTAGAATTATAAAACAGGACAAGAGTACAATTTCCAAGCCAACATAATGTACTATTTAATATGGTGTAACATGCCTTGGTTAATAAAACCTACAATAAAAATAAAGAGGCTGAAGGTTAATCCAAGTTACATTTTTCATTTCTATTCGATCAGTCAAAATAATAACACAGTGACTATTTGTATTTATAAAGCACCTCTCCCCCAAAGTGCTACACATTTTAGTGTCATTTAAAAATAGTCAGGGAGGGGCTAAAACAAATCTCAAGGAGGAGTGACTTCCAGAAGATCACCCAAGTGAGGACCCAAATGCCCACCACCTGGTCTGTAGTGGAGAGATCCCTGAAAAGCTGGTGACTTCAGAATATAAATATATCCCAGAGAAGAAGGCTCCAGATTGAGATCTTGAATCCGGCCAGGTTCTGTACCACTAAGAACCCAGATCCCCAGCTGTTGTCAATTGTTGCAGCTCCACTGATGTAATGGAGCAACAATGATTTACATCAGCTAGTGAGCTGACCTAAAATCTTTAAAAAACTATCCGGCCAAATTAAAGTCTAGGTCCTGCTTTGCAGCCAGTCAGTGTAAAGAATGCAGGGTGTGCCTAACATGATCAGAGCTGCCAACAGCCCTGATCAACAGAAAGTGAAATGGGTAATACTCAGAAAGACAAGAGATCCAGATAAATACATTGGCATTTAAATGCTACTCCAAACCTCTGCCTGTGCTAAAATGAGCTGGAAAACTCAGGAGAACTGATTTTATCATGTGACTTCCAGTACTTCTGGCTTCTGAGAGGTGAGAAATACCAGCAAGAACATCTTTGTTCATGGTATATGAGGGCTTTCCATTTTGGTCCTGCCTGGAAGTTCCAGGTGGAAAGAGAATAAGTCAGCCAAACTTTTTCTAAATCTCAACATGGTTCTTGTTTTGGTCCAAGTAGGTGCCTATTATATCTGAACTCGTCCATCCATTCCTAGTGCAGGTTTGCAAAAATGTCTATATTGATGACCAGACATAACAGAGATACTCAATATGGAGTAGGGGACAAAGGTGACTTAATGCCATTTTACACACCCTGGATTCTGGGGCTGCCAGGAGCCAGTTCAGTCCCCAGCATAAGCAAGAGCAGCTCCAAAGGCTGCCCTAACTTATGTCCTGGCAGCAGCTATCCCCAAGGAACATTCAGAAGCTCAACATAACATAAGAATATAAGAATGTCTATACTGGGTGAGACCAAAGGTCTATCTAGCACAGTATCCTGTCTTCTGACAGTGGCCAACGCCAGGTGCCCCAGAGGGAATAAACAGAATGGGTAATCATCAAGGGATCCATCCCCTGTTGCTCATTCCCAGCTTCTGGCAAACAGAGGCTAGGAACACAAGCCCTGCCCATCCTGGCTAATAGCTATTGATGGACCTTATCCTCCGTGAACTTATCTGGTTCTTTTTTGAACCCTGTTATAGTCTTGGCCTTTACAACATCCTCTGGCAAAGAGTTCTACAGGTTGACTGTGCGTTGTGTGAAAAAATACTTCCTTTTGTTTGTTTTAAACCTGCTGCCTATTAATTTCATTTGGTGACCCTTAGTTCTTGTGTTATGAGAAGGAATAAATAACACTTCCTTATTTACTTTCTCCACACCAGCCATGAGTTCTCCAGCCATAGCCACTCCCTCTCCCCACATGCCTCTTCCCTCCCCTTGGCACAATACTAAACTTGGGGTTGCAAATGGGAAGCAGTAAAGGCCCATTCTGCAGGCCTTATGTCACTAGCGAACCCTTCTTACATTGGGTTGGTAGAAGCAGATTCCCCAGTGGGAAAATCTGGTTGGTTTTCATCCTCTTTGTTCTGCAGGAGCAGTGTAAAGGCGCCACATAGCCAGGGCCGACTCCAGGGTTTTGGCCGCCCCAAGCAGCCCAAAAAAAAAAAAAAGCCGCGATCGCGATCTGCGGCGGCAATTCGGCAGAAGGTCCTTCGCTCCAAGTGGGAGTGAGGGACCGTCCGCCGAAAAGCTGGACCTGCCGCCCCTCTCCGGAGTGGCCGCCCCAAGCACCTGCTTGCCAAGCTGGTGCCTGGAGCCAGCCCTGCACATAGCAGCCCAGAATCAGAGCCCAAGTGTGCCTTGCTACTGTGCACGGGACTCATTACCTTTTCAGCAGATGCCACACCTTCAGAGAATTCTGTTTTATACTTTGACAGACCAAGAAACAACATCTCTGTCATCTCATGTCTCTTTCGTAGTCCTTTGATCATAACATTAATCTCCTTCCAGAATGTTTTCACTTTCAAAATCACCATCTGGATTCTGGTTAAATGCTTGGATACCTCTTTCAAGTGCTTATTTTCCCCTGGGGTAGCCAGTGAACAATATTCAAACATAAGCCATTTCAGCAAACAATGATTTGCATAAACGTATCTCTCTTATGGAAAGAAAAATTCATTGAATTGCTAGTTAAAGATACTCTATCTATACATTTTTTATAGGAGAGATCTCATTCTCTATTGCAATTTTTAGGTTTTTCAAAGTAATTTTCTATTAAACTTTATGTGTTTCCATCTTTATTAAATTATTTCGGACTTTTCCATACGGTACTAAAACTAAATCAGTTCTTACCTATATGGTGACCCAGCATGCTTTGCAGGAAAGCAGAAAAGAGAACATTTTGCACCTTTATGAAGAAGAAAAAGAAACAAACAAAGCTGCAAACCAGAGAAGTTGTACTAAATGTTAGAGACACAGTCAGTTAATTTAGGACAGGCAAATCTCATTGCTTCAAACTTCTTTTAAACTGCATTACAAATAGATGTGTTTCTA